CCCCAAAACCCCAAAACCCCAAAACCCCAAAACCCCGGGCATACACATTTTATTTTTTTAGCTTGGTACATTTATTTGGAAATTGAAATTAAGGTCACAAAGATTAAATAATGCTTCTATTTCACAATTTGCTTCTTTGTGCTTGCAATTTACTGATAAGTCTTTTCTTTTCCATGATCTAAGCTTTAGATAAGCTAAAGTTAGTTTCAATTTCTCTTAATAAGGCTTTGACTTGTTAATCCAAAGATAATTTCTCTGCCTCAGAGTTATTAATACTCACATTTGCCGATGCTCCAATATCCATGTTGGTGTCTCCCATCTTATTTTGGGTCTAAGCAATACTAGCTTGATCTTAGAATTTCTAGTTAAATTGTTACTAGTTTTAGATTGGCTATTACTGCTGCTGTTAAAAAGTTGGTGGAAGATGATAAGGAGACATTGATTATTACTAAAATGACCCTGGCTATGGTTGCTATTATTACTAAAACTACTACAAATATTGAGGTGGGTATTATTGTTATTGCTATGGATGATTATTATTGTACGATTGCTACTGCTGATGATAGATATTTTGTTGGAAAATATGGTCTTACATATTTTATTGAGCTTGATTAATGTCTTAGGTTTAGAATTTTGACTCCTCATATTATTGATGTTAAGCTTGCTTTCTCCTTTCATATTCATCTTAGTTCAGTTATCTGCCAACTTATTGATTAATCTATGGAGGTTTAGATCGCTGATCATAATTGTCTTATTGATAAGAGTACTGCTAGCTAGAGTATTAATAGTCTTTGGATGAGTATTAATCATTTTCTTGTTACATCTCAATCGCCCAATCTTCAATTACAGAATCTCTTTCTTCAACGTACTTATCTCTAAGATACTTCAAGATGGCCTCAGTTCCTTTTTCTATTATAGCTCTTCTTATACTTTTCAAGGGATTCCCATCTAGCTGAATTGTCTTAATATTCTTATGAATTCCAATTAAATTTGGAATTCCTCTATCATTGATATCATTGTTTTAAATATTCAAGAGATTAAGATTCTCAAGGAAATGAATTAATGCTATTGGTACTTCCCTTAGTTTGTTGTTACCAAGATCTAATACTTCTAATTTCAAAAACTCTTTACGGCAAAGTTCTTTAATATCTGAAATCTTATTCATGTGAAGATGAAGTTGCTGCAGCTTTGGAAGATACTTAAGAATAGGAGGAATCTACGTAAGATTGTTTCCATTTAGTGATAAAAATGTCAAACTTGGCAAGTTAATATCTTGCCTCTTCACACTGTCATCATAAAATCTAGGCAGCTAATTATTAGCGAATTCAATTGACTATAGACTTTATATTTAGAGTAGTGAAAGTGGTAGTTATTTCAGCTTATTGTTTTGTACTCTTAGTTACTTTAGATTTTTAAGGAAGTGAATGTCTTCAGGAAGCTCTGTAAATGCATTATTGCTTAAATCAACAACCAAAAGATTTGTGTGATTCCAAAGCTTTGGAGAAATCGCTGATAAAGATTTGCCTCTTAGGTCTAAACTGTTATTACTAATAAACTCTCTCAACAAAGTATCCCAGGGATCAAATTCCTTAGAAGCACCAGGCATATGCTTAATGACAGCAATCTTATTTTCTTCTTACTAGACTTCTCCATCTTCTAATCTCATTTTAAGGTATTTCTTAAGTTAATCTGCTCCTGCATTTCTCATTGTAGACTTGATACATTTCAGAGGATTACCTTCTATTGTTAATCTAACAAGAACAGGTAGTAAAGCAATTCTTGGATTTATGTCACTTAAATTATTGTTTGAAACCTTTAGAGTCTTTAGATTTTTCAAATCAATAATGGATTCAGGGAATTCCTCTAGTTTATTGTTATGAAGATCAAGTACTGATAGATTAGCGGCTCTATCAAGATTTGATATTTTCTCTATAAAATTGTATGCCAGAGTAAGAGTATCTAGCTTGAAAGACTTAGGGACACTATCAAATATCTTCATTTGATTCTAGTGCAAATCTAGCTCAACTAATAAAGTAAGATTGGCTAAAGCATCCTAGTCTACTTATGAGATCTTATTCTTTGACATATTCAAATGAGTCAGCTGATTCAAAGAAGATATGAAGTTATCTACTCTCGTCAACTGGTTCTCCTCTAAATCTAATTTTAATAATCTTGTGAGACAGCCGAATTCTACTGGCAAAAAGTTAATCTTATTTCTTTTTAAATCTAATATCTCTAGATTCTTAAGATCCCCTATTGAATGTGGCAGCTCTGTAAGCATATTACCGGCGATATGGAGCTCTACCAAAGCTTGGCAAGCAGCTATTGACTCAGGAATTATCTTTAACTTGTTATAGCTTATATCTAAGAACTTGAGAGTCTTTATAGCAAATAATCCAGCAGGAACCTCTTCCAACTTATTGTTCTAGATGTTGAACCAAGTAATAAACTCTTAGGCTGAAATTTCCTCAGGAATTGAAGTGATCTCGTTATTTGAGAGATCGATTTTCTAAAGGTCAAATCCCTCCCACCAGTTGTCTCCGATCTATAGCTCCTAAAAATTCAAAATTTCCCCTGGGAAAGCTTTCAATTGCCTGTCTGCAATGATCAAGGTACCACTCTGCTTTGCTCTCTTCAAAGCGCCCTCTAAAAATGTCCCACCTTTGGCTTAAGTATTTGCTTATTGAAAGAAATTAGCATTAGCTCCTCCTCTTTTACCTCTCATTATTCCAGTAAATTTAAGAATTATATTAAGCTTAATAGAAACCTGATAAAAATATAGATTATTTTTTGTCAGTTAGTACCAGGCGGGGTTTTGGGGTTTTGGGGAGATCGGAAGAGCACACGTCTG